AAAAATTAACAAGAATACAAATTCCCTCATATTGTATAACATTTACGTTCCTAATTTTTTTGAACATACGATAAAAGCAATATTAAATAAATTGGATCAAGAAATGTTGGACACAAATGTGTTAAGTCTGCCAGGAATGTTTAGCCAAGTCGGGTTTATTTCATAATATCTTGTGTGAATTTTAATTTACAGTTTCCAATAAAAAACTTAAATTTTTTACTATCTTCTAAAGATTATTTCCGTTAGTAATATTTAATAGGATATCAATTTATAATTAATATTAGTATGTACTCCATAGCAGTTTCAGTTTAAACTTTTCGGAACCTCCGAATAATCTGCGTGCAATTGGATTAAAATAAAAGAATTAAATATAAAAATTCATGTAACACATTGTATTATTAAGCACCAAGAGACTTGCTTTCACAGAATATTAATTACTTCACTCATTTGTATTGAAAAAATAATTAACTACTACTAAATACACTTGCCAACAAACTTAACACAACATTTGTTCTACTCTGTAAAAATAGGCAAATTTTTTTGTTTTGGTGTTAAATGACTCGGTGAAACAAATCATACGAAACTCATTAAAAAAGTAATTTAAAGCTAAAGAATCATTTTTTCGAATGCTTTAAACCGCATTTGTGTGAAATTTTTAATTTACATTGTAAGATTTTGCAAATTCTGCAAAAATTTTGAAATTCGATACATCTTCATTTATCTTTCGTGTAACTCATTAAAATATTTGTAAGATCGTTTTTTGAAGTTTCGAACTAAAAAGTAAAAATTTTAAGCTGTAAAATGTTTTTTTTTTTAACATTTTGATACAATGATCTTTCACGAAGTTGTTCCATTTTGAAGTTTCCCTATTTTTGGAATAGATATTGTGTTAATTTCTTTGGTAAGTGTATTTCTGTAGAAATACATCGCATTAAAATGGCATAAACACTAATATGTTTTATATTCATTAAGTCCAATACACTATATCGCATAATTTGCGATCTAGAATGGTACAAGTTGGAACCAAGAAAGGCGAAAAGTCTTATTTTGTTAATAATGCGAGCCAAATATCCTTTCCGTTTCACTGCAGGAAAGATTTTTCCATTAACAATGGTTACCTTTTGCAGCGTAAGATTATTTAGAATTCTTTATAATGATATTCTTACTTCTTTAATATTTAATGGAATCTGTTTTACTTTTATATGTAACTTCTCGTTTTTACTCTCTTTTTCTCTTCTGCTACCTCCCCTTTCTATTCTTATACAAGCACACATATATGCACACACGCACCCGCACGCTTGTGTATATGGTATTCCAGAATACTTACTGCTTACACGCCGAATAATCATACATGCATTTGGCGGTAGACCGGGCGAATACGTGCTTATTCAACAATTATTATTAATTAATTTTTTTGTTAAATGTGACAAAATTGCAAAATAAAACTCTTTCACTTATAATTAGTTTAATTCACTCTATCTACCACGAGAAATGTTGTATGTGATACATTCGTGGTACACTACCGAATACGCTGTACATTTAGGCACTTATGATTTTTTAAATGATTTATTAAATAAAAATTTTATTTATTATATTTTTATTTATTAATTGAATTAGTAAATATAATTTATTATTTATTATATAATGAAAGATACCTTTATGTAAAAATGACAAAGTAATCATCGTCATAAACATGTATTATAAAGGTCAATATTCCGACCAAAATACGTTAACGAAAAAAGTCAATTTAACCTATTTTTTAGTTAATATCTAGTAACTGTTTTAATATTTTATTATTTGTCTAAAGAAAAATAACTTTTTAGATACTGAAGACATCATGTGGTTACATATCATTTTTATTGGCAAAACGTAGTTGAAGATTATATAGCTATTTATGAAAGAAGTAAATGTACATTTGCAGCTAAGTAACGAGTCTTAGACAATCTAACCGTTATTAAATATAATAATAAAGAACTGTTTCATGGACTACTTAACATTAATTATTAATTATATTATTAAATATCCTGTAATATAACAATATCAAAAATAATCAGGAAATAGAAGTAATTAGTTACGTAACGCCATTACTGTTACGAGTTACTTTCTTTTGTATCAGACTAGTAATGACGTTACTTTTTTTTGTAACTGTAATGATAACCTAGTTACATTCTTTTTCGCTAACAAATTTTACAGTTCTACCTCTATTGTTACTTTCTATATTTTATAAACATATTTATGTGTGGCATAAATTTTGCATATTTAATTTTCAAACTTTAATCAACATTTATAAAATTTATAAATTGTTATTTTTAAAAAGTAGCTTTCCATTTCCTGGAAAATGATTTAATAGAAATAAAATTTTTACTAAATCAATTATATAATAATTATAATTTATTATATTACGAAATAAGATTATGATGTGCATTTAGCATATAGATACGAATGTACTACAGAGCCACAAAAATTAATAAATGAGATCATTTATCAATAAAACTACTTATAATAAAGCACAATCAAAAACCGTTTTTCATATTTTATAAAAGTTCATATATTTACATAATTTCGTATTTTATACTTTTATTAAACAATTTCTAATGTGACAAATATTTTATTGCCCAAAAGTAACTCGATGGAAGTAGACTCCTGTGTATTACGTCCAAAGAAAAACAAGAAATCAATAGTACAAAAGTATAATACAAAATTTCGTCTTAATGTTTGTTTTTGAATAACATTTTCTTTAATATAATAATGTTTTATAAATTTTTTGTATTAATGCAATCTGTGTTTTACCAAATTAACATGGCACAATAAATGTATATGTGTGTGTATGTATGTGTGTACTTACGTTATTATATCCATATATGAGGTTTATGACTTGCTTCAATTTTGATAATATAATTTATCGGCCTGCTTACGTTCAATATTCAGATACATTAAAGAACATATTTGTTATTTCACTGAAAGAATACGACTTGCCTTTGAAAACCATACCTTATAAAATAACGGTATTTAAACAATAAAATTTTGTCACTGGGAGAGCATGAACAATTGAAAAGTACAAATTATTATCTACTTACAATCTACACATAATATTACATTCACTCATTTTTATCACTTTTACTGCGACAAAGAATATGTTTTCGAAAGAGACATTTAAAAAATATTATACCTACGTATATACTAATACAGAAAGTCTCATTAAAGATGCAGTAACCTTATACTTCTTGTTTCGCATCCATGTATAATGAAGCGATATAAACATGGAATTTAACTTTCCAAGTGAGTATCGGCGAACTTATAATGACGTGCAACATTTT